TAGCCACCAGACTATCTATTTACTTACAGTACTTATAGCTCTAATAGCCACCAGACTATCTATTTACTTACAGTACTTACAGCTCTATTAGCCACCATATTATCTATTTACTTACAGTACTTACAGCTCCAATAGCCACCAGACTATCTATTTAGTTACAGTACTTACAGCTCTATTAGCCACCAGATTATCTATTTACTTACAGTACTTACAGCTCCAAAAGCCACCAGACTATCTATTTAGTTACAGTACTTACAGTTTCAATAGCCACCAGACTATCTATTTAGTTACAGTACTTACAGCTTCAATAGCCACCAGACTATCTATTTAGTTACAGTACTTACAGCTTCAATAGCCACCAGACTATCTATTTAGTTACAGTACTTACAGCTTCAATATCCACCAGACTATCTATTTAGTTACAGTACTTACAGCTTCAATATCCACCAGACTATCTATTTAGTTACAGTACTTACAGCTCCAATAGCCACCAGACTCTCGAAGTGATGTATGTAGATATGGACGAACACTCTGAACAATCGTGTAAGGATCTTCTTGCACGTAGGAATGAAGTTCTTCGGGAAGGGAACATCTGAAGAGAGAAATCAATATCTAAGACTTGAAGAAACAGAATTTCTCTATAAAAATAAAAAGAGGGTTTTTGAAATTAGAAGATCTAGAAAAGTATGTCCTAACTATTCGTACTTTTTCGCTGCTGAAAGTGTATAAATTTTACAGCTTTATCTGGTATTGTAAATTCACATTAAGGTGAAATAACTTTTACTTGATAATACCATATAAAGTACAACTATCATTTATAACAGGTTTCATGCTTACTCTACAACAAAATTGCTTCACCTTTAAAAACTCTTAGCTGGACACTATAATACTGTATACAGATTTAAATAAAACACTCAATACATTTTGAAAGTGTGGATTATTTTTGAATCCATCTGATTACATATGAGTTAAGATATACAAAGTACTGCATTCTTATTTACTCAGTTGGGCAACATCTGTGCCAGGATAAGCATAATATCAACTCTTTTCTTAGATTTATTTGAAAAAAAACCCAATAGGAAAATTTAGAAAATATTACCTCAAATAAATAGGAACTAATGCTTTCTTGTAATGTTTAACATTTTCTTTTTGTTAGCACTTATAACAGAATTGACCTGCAGTATTTGTTAATTTTTTTATTAAAGCAGCCCATTAGAACCAGTCTGTGTTAATTTTTTATTATAACAGTCCATTACAACCAGTATGCGTTATTTTTTTATTATAATAGTCCATTAGAACCAGTATATGTTAATTTTTTTATTATAGCAGTCCATTAGAACCAGTCTATGTTAGTTTTTTATTATAGCAGTCCATTAGTACCAGTCTGAATTAGTTTTTTTATTTATAGCAGCCTATTAGAACCAGTCTGTGTTAATTTTTTATTATAGCAGCTCATTAGAACCAGTCTATGTTAATTTCTTTTATTAT